ACCTCTTCCCTGGAATGAACTGTGTAAATTATCCTCTTCCTAGAATCAGATGCTACTTGATTTGATTTGCACAAATGTGAGCTTGTCTGTGTCAGTAGTTTCTTCATAGATGTATGAAATTAATATCTGTAGTGGAAAGATCTTCAGTTTCAATCTAGCTTTGTTTCATACATGCAGAACTAATGGGTTCAATGCCTCTATTAAGCAAATGAGTGTATGCACATAACAAATACAGTAACAAATTTTGGGCCAAAGGTAATAGCTAGAAATATGCTCACTAACTCAACCCCTTAACCTTCCTCTGAGCTTTCTGTGTTCACCTATCCATACAGTCTCCACTTGTGAATTGTTGGCATGGGGAGAAAACTTACAAGAAGACCCTTGTAGAGAATGCATTTTTTTCACTCTTTTGTATATAACTGCACACTGCACATTAGTTGCAAAACACAAGCAGCTAGGGGCTATTTTATTTGTATACATAACATGTAAAAAGAGATTAAAAATATGTGTCTGTTGTCCACCAGTTGTTTAAATGAGTGTAGACATACCTTTGGAAGATCTTGTACACATTACATTACAATAAGGGCTAGAAATGTCATTGATTTGTTACAGGGGGTTGTTTGCTGGTTTTTTGGTTGGTTTTTCATACTTTGAAGTATCTTCTTACATTTATGCAGTTGACCCACACCATAGATCTTATGTAACAGTGAATCTGTTACTCAATCATACATTTCAATGTTCAAAGATAATAATTTTTCCTATTGCTATTCCTATTTGTGTAGAAATGTAGTAGGTAGGTTATCCACTAAAAGAAGTTAGGGGGTTTTCTACACACAATGTAATATGTAAATAATATAATTTACCAATTTGTAAGGGAAAAATATAATTTGCATGATATCAGATGCTTCTTTTAAGAAGTTGCATAATGAAAAAAATTGTTTTATTTGATAAAATTGGGCCAGCAATATACATTTAAAAAGTTAATTGACGTAAACGACATATTCAAACTGGGACTTTGCATAGTCATAAAAAAATTCATTTCTCCAGACAGCATTGAGAGGTCACACCAAGAAAGCATAATCTGATTGATGACATGTCTTATATGATATATAAAAAGTGATTTTTTTCAGAGAATGAACAATAGCAGCAATACCAAAGCAGTCAGTTTGTAGGTTGGTTTTAGTTAGGTCATTGTTCACAATGTATCTAGTTGAATATTTATGGAAAAGGTAACTGGTGAAAAAAATCCTTTTATAGAATCATAGAAAAGTTGATTAGAATGTGGGGTTTTTTGGAGGTCATGTAGTTCAACCTTGTGCTTTAAGTGGGACTACCACCAACAGTAGGTCAGGCTCTGCCCAGACAGGTCTCTAAAGCCTCTGTGGAGGGAGATCCCACAGCTCTTCCAGGCAGCCCCTTTCCTGCAGCACTGTATTCAGGAAAAGGTGTTCCTCATCTCCAGCCTGAGCCTCCCAAGGTGAAACCTGTGCCTCCCGCAGTACTGTAGCAGCACTGAGAAGAGATTGAGAATTTTACTCCAATGTCTTTGTACCTGTCCTTCGAGTAGCTGTAATTTGCAACGAGAACATCCCTTAGCCTTCTTCAGTCTAAACGAGCTCAGTTCCCTCAACTTCTCACTGTCCATTTGCTGTTGCCCCTGACTATCTTAGCAGCTACCAAACAGGTTGCCTCTAGTTTCTTAGTATCCCCCTTGATGATGTGGGTGGGGAGGACATGTCAAAACCAGTATACTTATTGCACTCACCAGTGCTGAGTACAGGGCACTAATGTATTCTTTAGATCTGTGGGACACCGTCATAGCATAGCACATTATAGAGTTGCATGAGCTGTGGTCAGAGGACATTGTTACCTCCTATTCAGCCTGGCAATTGCCACAATTTTCACTGGCTTCTCATGCTACTCTGCTAACTGGTTACCAGTCTGCATGTGATGCATAAGGTTTGTCTGCTCTGGTATAGTGTTATGCTTTTTCTTACTGAAATCCATGAGTTTACTGTCTGTTTAATCCTCATCTTAAGGGCCAGGAGTAGACCATTTAATGGCTTATGGTTCATTGAATTTGAAAGACATTCAGAGATATCTTGTCAATTGCATTGTCAATGCGTGCTAATGACAGCATATATGTAGTATGAATCCTATGAGTCTTTGGGGATATAGTTAAATTCTCTGTATAAACAATCATGAAGTATTACAGCTTTCATTTACATTTTGTCTAGCATGGACACTAGAAAATAGGGGAGCTGATGGGAATTCTGAGTTTAACTTTTATAGCTGTCATTGTCTTGAGTGAAGAGTTTTATTAAAAAATGTTGGTCAAAGCATTTGGCCTGACATTTGTCACGTATGAGTATCTTTAAAACAATGGTATTTTGGAGTAAAAAATATTGGAAACAGAATGTCTCAGCGTTTGGGAGAGGTAAACTTTTGGCTGAGTATGAACTTCACCAATTCAGTTTCTGCTGGGTTCTGTAGTGCCCTGACCAACAGTTAGATCTATTAAAATCTAATGTTTTCTGATAAAATCTAATCTTTCATTGATATGTTAATGGTTGCTTTCACTGAGGATGCCTGATGGATGAACTGTCACAGACTCCACTCCTGTGTGTCTTAGGGTCTGCTCCTTCATGTATTTCAGGTGATGATCACACTAAACTCTGTAGGATTCAATGCTGTTTTCCCTCCCAGTCATTGTGCACCCAGGACTGGGGTGCCTGGGCTTTCAGGACTGGAGTGCCCTCACTGCTGTGAAGATACTTAGCAGCAATGCTCTGCCCTATCTGACTCAAGAAGTGCTATTTAGTCGTGGCAGGAAAAATATGGATGTTAGGGGTGAAAAAACATACAAGATAGCTAGGACTCCCTTCTTTACATAGGAAGGGCTAGAGTTTACTTTTTTTCTTCATTTGCCTTACTTTTGTGTTCTGGTGGACGTTTGGCTCCTGTCTGACAACTACAAGACCCCAGAAAACTTAGCTCTACCTTAGCAAAAGATACCTTTTCAGCTCTACTATGGTCCATGATGCTCTTAGACCAAGACTATAAAAAACTGCTGACAACCTAGAAGCTGAAGCCACTGTATTATGTAAAAATATGTGTCTATGATGTGCATTGGTTATAGAAAGCTAAAGAATGGGCTAATGAAACACCCATTGGCTGAGATTTTACTTCCATGAAAAATTCTTTCTTTTAAGGTCAGTTCTGTGGCACTCTTGGGGAACATATAATAAATTATAATAAAAATAAGCAAACATGAAAATTAATAAATTAAAAAACTCACTGGAACATGTTGCTGTATGTTAAATTTTGGCGTATATCAATTATTTTGCACTGTTAATGCAGATGCCTTACATTTCTAAACCAACTTTAAAAATGTGAGGGTTTTTTACTATGGCTATTAACTGACAGTGGCCTTCTGATATCAGTCAGTAGGAAAACATCTATTCTGCTTATTCCTAACTTTCTGGATAGCTCCCTGATGTTCAGCTTTGCTCACTTTCCATTTCACAGACCGAGTTTACTTTAACTGAAACTGCCAAGCAGTAATTCAGTTCTTAACTAGATTTGTGGTGGTGAGACAGAGGGTAACATAAAAAGGCAGAACTTATTGGCACGATTCATCATCATACTTTATTGCGCACTCAAGCCTACTGGGCAGGAAATGTTATTAAATTGGAAGATGTAGCAGAGCCTTCTGAATCTGGCAGGATGAGCACCTTAAATCTCATGAAGGGCTGATGTGCTCAACTCGCATTCAGCCCCCCTGAACACTTGCAAGAATATCGACGGTGTTCCTTGTTAATCTCTGCAAGGGAGAATAGCTGATGGTGTCTTCACAATGTTAAAGAGTAATATGTAGAAGGCAAATATTCATGGCAACAATTATGCTTACCTGTTATTCTGAGAAGTGGGGCATAAACCCATCTACTTGGTTACTGCGTGTCATACACTCATGTAACAAGTGTCAGCCTCTGTTAGGGAAGTCCGGAGTGTGTTTATTTTTGAGTAGACAGGTGAGTACTAGTAACTAGTTTTATCGAAACACAAATGGGGGTAAAAGTGAATTGCCTGTCAAACTAATAAGTGAAACCAGTGGAGTTCCTTAAGGGAAAAGAGATTTCTTAGTGAAAACTTACTGAAACACTATGAAAGAATTAGGTGTAATTGTTGTTAGTGAAATAAAAAGACTTTTGGAGAAAAAGCCGTAGTGGTAGGAACATACAGAAAGTATAAATATAACTCAGATAAGGAAATCCCTGTTGCACTGTGTGATCATGAGAAATCTGGGAAGTTTCTACATTATGTCTGGCCCAGCTGTCAGCTCCAGTATTGCTATGTTCTGGAATCCTGAAAAGGAGTAGGGTTTTAACAGTTGGAGTGGGTCGAGACTGGCAGTTCTGTGGTCATGAATGTACAGAGGTGGGAATTAAATTGCAACTGAAGAGGAAAAAAATAAAAAGACAACTTTACTTAACAATAACTGACTGCCAAAGAAATTGTACTTGTAAAAATGCAGAATATAGTTTTACAAGTAAATTTCATTGTGTAAGCAGATCCAAAGAACTAGCTTTCAGTGTACTGAAAAACTTGGGATTGAAAAAGTTTTGAAAGCAAATTTGATCACAATTTTTAAATTATGAAGTCTTTACATTCAAGCAGTTTATGCAAAAGAAGCAGCTTAATTCTGGAATTCTCTTTGAATTTTGTAGGATATTCTTCCCACTATATGTTAGCCCCGTGGATAAACCTCAGTCTCAAATCTTTTACTTTACTGGCTGCTCCTGTTAACTATTGAAAATATTTTTAAAGGCTCTTTTGAAATTCCTTTTAAGAACAGCCTATCAGAAAGGTAGCACACTATTCCTCTTAGGCAGTTTTGCAGATGTCTGTTTCTATTGTTTTAAGCTCTCATCTTTCATAAGAAAATACAGTCGCCAATATATGCACACAATACTTTCATTTTTCTGATAATGTGTATTTATTTGTATCCAGAAATACAAATGTTGGGATCAAAATACGAATATAAATAGTATTCTAAACACACAGCCCTACTCCTTAACACAAAGTAAAGTGGAATGGATGTGGTTGATAAGGAAAAGTTGTTGTATGAGAACCTGAGGAGATGAAGCACACGGGTGTTCGACTTTTCTGATTAGGTCAGTCTGGGGAATCACTAGGATGGCTATCTAACTTAGAATGACATACTGGTACTAGTGCTACCTGTATTATTCAAGGCACATTGGGCACATAATTGTACTTTCATTTCACTATGACATCACAAGCTGCACTGCTAGCAAAGAAATCACACACCCCTAAGAAAAACTTAGGAAGGAAGGATAATTAGAAATCTAAAATTTTATTTGTGTTCTATAAGAAAGTTCAATTTGGCACATAGTTGGCAGGTTTTCTGTGATTCCTAAAATTGCACTCAAAAAAAAATAAATCCATATGTTATCATTTTGGAGAAAAAAATATTTTGAGAGGAATATACCGAGAGTTTAATATAGGATTATATGAGGTGGTTGATCACTGTCTGTGATAGCCACAGACTGGGCTCAGATTCCCTCCAGAGTAGTGTTCCTACCTGTGACAGCCACATGTTGGCCCATGATTTATGGTTGATATTGCACATGAGCGTGGATGACAATAAAGTCACAGGACTCCTTAATGACTACAAAAGAGAATATGGGGGACTGATACTGTAACCTCTCTGCACAAGTTTCCCACTGTAGTTCAGAGGAGCATTGTTTTGTGGAAGGCTATTCTGAAATTTTGTTTCCTTTGGAGTACTCTGTCTGGCAGTGACATGCTTCCATTTTCTGCCTGTGTAATATTGTCAGATGCAATTATTTTACCAGCTTTCCATGATTTCAATAGCAGCTCATTTTTTAAGGACCCCATGTAGTCTGTAAATATGAAATAGACTCTGTAGCATGCTGTGTTCCGTATTTATCATGAGTTTTTTTCAAATATGTCATCAAGATTGTTCTCTTTGTCCATTTTCTATTGTTGTATAATTCAGAAATTTTGGCATTTACCTGTTTTAGGCTTCACTTTCAGTATGTAAACTACAAATCTCACTTGAAGTACTTAAGTTACAAATCTGCTCTGCACAAGCTTTGAAGCCAGTCAATGGATAATCAGCCCTGCCAGAATATGATCCAAAGCTCCTCTGTTTTATTGGTAAGAATATTTTAATTTACACCCTTCTTCTGGTCAATGATCTTGATTGATGAAGAAGTTTTTCACTCAGACCTAGAGGTCTTCTGTTTAAAACCTGCAATAGTAATACAGTGTCTGTAACAAGCAGGCATCAGCTTCACTGTGGATATAATATATTGTGTCAGTACAGCTTCATCTCTCCCAAGCACTGACACGGGCTGCAAGACGGTAAAGAGACGTCAGGACAGTATTAAGCGCTGTATTAAGCGGTAAAGGCAGCACCTGGGTTCCTGTAGAAGAAGCTCTGCAGGCTGATTTAGCCCTCCAAGTAAAGTTGAGCTACATGAATGCTTTGGTGATACCAAAGAGGCTGTTGTGACTCCTCTGGTTAGTTTAATTTGTTACCTAGATAAAAGAATACTGACTATATTGTTGCCCAGTTTGCCTGGTTCAGTCCTTGAGAAAGCCTATCCTCAGACATATGAATAAGCATAACGACTTCTGCTGTCTTACATTGTCCTTCAAAAATAACAAATGATTACAAGACCAAAATGCACATTTTGATAGAAAGTAGAGAATTCTCAAGTGTCCACCTCTGAAGCACTGAACTTCATGATGAGTTTTATTGTCTAATTTCACTTATATTCTAGGAAAACCCTTAAGGACTTCAGACGTATACAGAAACTGACTTGAGGACCCAAAGCAAAAGAGAAAAAAAAAAAAAGTAAAGTTTGTAGAAAGAATACATCATCACAGATCTTGGATATCTCCCTTGAGGAATATCATTGGATGCTAACCAAGTGTTCAGTCACAATCCAAAGTCATTTAAAGCAACAGCTGCTAGATAAATTGGATTATTAGAACAACATTTATCCCTAATTCAGGACTAAGTCATAGGCAGGGTTATAGGGTAACATATCTATTTGAGTTATCCACCATAAGTACAGTGTACAAAAATTTTCTGTTTAACTTGTCAAAGCAATGCGTTTAAGCGGAGATGAATTTTTTTCTGGTGCAACGTCATTTCAGCTTAGACATAAAACAGTTTTACTTTTAGTATCTAAAACTGTGTCCTAAATGGTGAGGAAAGTAGATTCTCTATTTGTTTGTTGTCTAGACAAACCATGCATCCCAGGGGATAAGGCAAAACTATTAAGGCGACTGAGTCTTGAAGGAAGGCCTTCGCTTTTCACATACATACTAGAACTCTTGAAGAGGACAATGGGAGGATCTAAAATTTACTCAGGGGAGAAAAAAAAAAAGCTCTAAGGGAGAAAGAACTTCACCTTTCAGCTGCGGAAATGCATTCCTAAGGGATAGTTTGTTTTTTGCCTATTTTAAACTGTCTTCTGGGAAGTGACCTGGATGAGGTAAATATCAGCTTTGAGTTTATGATCTGCATCTCTTGGTGGAATGAAGTTGCTGGGTGAAGAAGGAAGGATTCTACTAAACCACTGAAATCCCACTGCAGTTTTCTTGCTACTTAGGAATTAAGAAACCTACAGACTGCTTGGAAAAACAAACAAACAAAAACACAAAAGAAGAAACATCAAAGAAATATTCAATGTATAGGTTGAAGAGATCTAGAAATACTGTTCACAGACTGGTTCTCAGGAAGAATTCCATCAAGGTGACTGTCCCTCTTTCTAACTCTCAGGCCAGGAATAACATATCCTTCAATATCAAGAAATGCTAAAGGCACTAATGTAAGAGGCACAAAGATTTCATTGTAAGCAAAAAGAAAAATATGCCTTGAAAATACTCATTTAACTGTGTAGGTAGCTAAGATTATGGAATACGGCTTGCCTTTTCTTAATGTTTTATGGAAACCTAGGAAGAGTAGCCAATGGGAAAAGTACTCTCTGTTATGGTCAGCCTTTACAAGTTGCAGTGGGTGCTTTGTTTTACAGCTTAGAAGGTAACACCAACTCTCCAGATTGTGAGGCTAATGAAATCTATCTTAAAGGATTGAGTCTCCCTTCCCACAAAGTCAGCAGTACAACTATGGTTCTTTTCAGAGCTGTCTTGCATCTGGTCGCTTGGAGCATGGGCAGGATAATTTTTCTAGAGGTAAGGTGAAATTTGGTGTAAAAAGGAGATAAGCATCCTTCCCTTCTTGAAGTGGCCAAGTAAGGTGAGTTGTGATAAATTCATACAGCAGCATGAGGTGCTGAGACACATTAAAATGTGTTTGAGATAGCTATCTATCCGAGCTATTTGGCAGGATGCCTCCAGTTCCAGAAATATCATTTCCTGCCAGCTTAGGGCTCATGTGTCACTGCTGTTCCAGCTGATGAATGTGCAAACCACCAAGTGGATGATTTAGAATTAGCTGTGGGTAGGTGGTGGGAAGAACTGAATAAGAGGAGTGGGACAGATAAGAACTGCACAGCAATGAAAAATAATTTCTTCCTCCCATTTTAGCTTCACTACTCATCATTGTCTGTGAAGATGGCTCTGGCTTTTTTTGTTATTTTTTTTTATTCTTTTGATATGTACAATATACCAATATACAGTTGAGAGTTGATGAAGGAGATAAGGAGCATCTAAAAGAGAGGAAAGGTTAACAAACTGCTGGAGGTGTTTTAATCTGCGGCTGTACTTCTCAATTAGAAAGTTACATTAAAATTGCCTAGCATACTTCAGTTCCACATACTGCTGGACATGGAGCCAGCATAAACTGGCTGTGAGTTTTTATACATTTATTCTTGGAAGAATGACTGTAAAAGAAGGAGCTGTCAATACGTTAAGCATCAGGGCCAGAAGAACTGAGAAGACTGAATTAACCAGAACAGTATTTTTATACATTCTTAATTGCCTTGAAAATGCTGCCCACAATCCAGGGAAATACTGTCCATTGACTTTTAATTGAAGAGGGAGAGTAAGATGTTTGACTTCAGATCCTCCTGGGAAAAGTTGGTTATCTAAAAAAACCCTCACAATCTTTTCTGTAACTTCAGAAAGGAAAGAATGTAGCGTGAACATACTTGATTTTGTGGCTTCACATACATATCATACAATGCGTTCATTTCTCTAGGCATTTGGGTTTGCCTTCTTCCATTCCCTCCCCTTCCTTGGAAGGGTAAAAAGAAGTACTAAATAACAAAGAGAAGTAGTTGAATAAATGCAGGTCTTGAATATGTTATTATGTAATAATAAAATGTTCTAAAATGCTAAAAGATGGTTCTTACATTTCTCAACACACAGAAGCATTGCAAAAGAAGCAAAAGAATTTCTGGAGGTTAATGAGAATACTCTTACTACTACAGAAAGATATGGCACATAGATATACACAGACCACATTATGTAGGTGTTTAGAATAATTGCATTTTGAATGATGCAGAATCTAGAACACTCCCTGGTCTGTGTAATTTTTCAGTGGCTGCCAAAACACAGAACAGTGAAGCAGAGAGAGTAAACCAAGGAACTAGGAATAAGTAGAGGAATGCATTCTGGAACCTACCAGCCTGTGGCCATTCACTTTGCATGTAAATCAATTTTTTGCAAATAACCCCAGAGGATATTACACAGTAGAATATGTCCTCTGCTGTCAGTGTAAGAGCAGAAGCCAGTAGTGTCTGCAGATTCTTTCTTGGTTAGGACCATGAAAAAAAGTGGAATGATATGCTTCCAACTTGTGTTTATGAAAGCACTCAAAAAACAGAGGCAATATGAATGGACTGGGCAGAATCAGTCTTCCAAGAAAGGATCTGATAGAATTGCACGCTTTTGGCAGGAATGGGTAGCCATGAGCAGAAGAGTAAGAAAAGTATATGCTCATCATCTAAAATGGGAACATTGCACATTTTCCCAGGTCATTCACTCAAGTATGCAACTGCTAAATAAACACCACTTTAACTGTTCAAGGTTTAATAGTGGAAGGCACCTTCTTGTGCCTCATCTGTCACAATACTCTCACCAAAAGCAGTTGATTGTGCAGAGGGTTTGCAGGATCGTGCCCCTAAGGATGACAGCTTCTATTCTTTTATGTAGGCTTGAACTATTTCCAGTATACTTGAAAATACGGTTGAAGGTAGGTGTTAAAGTAGACTAGTTCAGAGACCAGGATAGTCAAATTCAATTCAACCCCCTTCTTGCACTTCTGAAAATATAACTCTCCTGCTTAAATAAAATCCATACTTCCAAGTGCAGGGCACAGAGGTTTACAGAGGAATAGATTTCATAGAGTAATTTGCTACTGAGATTTAGCAAAAACTTCAACATATATTTTGAAATCCGAAGGTTATCATTGGTTTAGAAGACATCAGATTGGGCAGATTTTGCTAAGAATAAGATTTTGATCCTGCTCTTAAAGACTTCTTCTCTGTGCTTGTGATTTGAATTTTGTCAGTCCTTAGAGAAGTGATTTCCCTCCCCCACCTAAACTCAGCTCTGTTTCTATTATTTTCGACAAGTGAAAACCAGAAGAAAGTATTTTAAAGAACTACAGTTAACTTTTGTGTTAGTAATTTTTTTCAATTAAAAACTTACTGGGAGCACAGAGCAACAGCAATGACAGACAGTGATGTTTCAAAGAATATGACAGCATTTCTGTTCCTTTAGAATCACCATTGCATTAGTTTTTGCTTGTTTGACGATTTTCTTTCTGATGAGAGAAGGAACTGCTCTTCAATCACATCCACTACTTATTTTTTTATCCAATACAGTGTGGAAGAGACACACATTTTTTGAGATAATAAAAAAATTGTCAGGTTCTTCAGAAGAGAAAAAAAAAGAATCTTGTTTTTAGGTATTTTTTAACTTTAATCCTTTGTAACCATTTGTCATCCAAAGGGTAGTGAAAAGCCATTGCTCTTTAGTTTTGAATGTTTTGTTTGTTTAGAAACAATTATTGAGACAGTCTGTAAAAGATGTAATCTAGTTTAACACTGTAAAACTAGCTTTTGAAAAAATGGGTAGTCTAAGAGTTCAATGGTCGAAAGCTTGAAAAATACAAAATAGCTTTTAAGAGCAAAATATAGTTGGTAGTTTAGGAAAAAAATGAAAAAAACCTTTTTCTACATGTGGCAACTATTCCATTTTTAATCCAAGTGTGACAGTTGAGTTCCTGTAATGCACTATTCAAGTCAAAAGTGTTAGGTCTTCAGCTCAAATCCCGGAAACAACTGGTGTGAGTAAGGACTGCAATATTTAACTTTATGGAAGGAACAAAAAATATCCTTTGGCACGTATGTTTTTCAACTTTGTAAAACAGCTTTGAGAGAAAAAATAAGAATGAGAGAGCGCACTTTTTAGTAAATTGCAATCTCAAGAAAGTCACATATCCCTAGTGCTATTATATAGTGATTTTTACTCATGGCCTATCGTCTATGATCTGCTACAATAACACAAACAAGCAGGAATCTTGGCCTGCTTCGAGTACTTTAGAAATCAATGACCATCCTGTGTTTAGCCAGTCATAAAAAAGACGGTTAAAAGCTTGAAAAACTTTAGAAGTTATGCCTACAGCTGCCTCAGAGATAGGCAAGTCTTTTATTTGTATCAAAATAATAGCTTTCTTATAACTCTGCCTTTTCACCTTAAGTTAAAACCGGTATGTGTAGGTAATTGGCTAATTCCATGAATCCCAGACCTTTGCAGAAATCAACGTCCATGTTTTGATCCCACCAGAGACATTTCTTACTGTCTTTTGGTGGTTTCTCTATGACAAGGAGATCACCAATTAAATATTTCCCAAAACCTATGGGACACAGCTCAAGCAAATTTAAATACAAATTGAGTGGTTTTGTCGGCTTTGGCTTATTTGCCAGTGCCAGTGTATGTTGCTCTGAGCCTTAGGGATATGGCAGCATTTTGAAGAAAGTATGGGAATGAAGAACAAAAATGACATATTTAATCTTTGCCTGAATTGTGTATAGCTTCTATGCCAAGGGAGAATAGTAGAGATTCTAATATACAATAATTATTCATAAACATTGCTTACACTACAAATTCAGCTGAATTTTTAAAGAATCTTTTCCTTAAAATTAATAGCAGTAAGGAGAGAATTCTTCCACGTTTTTCTTTTTCAGGCAATTATATATTAAAATTCTTCATCAGGCTCTGTGGTGGTGAAGGTTAATGTGGTCTTTATAATTTGAGATGAAACTGACCATGTCCTTCACTTTTTCTGCACTTTCACCATCCCTCCGCAGAGTGAAAACACAGCAGTCTTCACCACTACAGGCAACATTTAAAGATAGAGGTATCCAACCCAGTAAACCAGGTTAAACAGCAGGAAGGATGTAGGAAAAAAGACCCTAGAGTAAGAGTCCAGTTCTAAGATGTCTATGTGAATCCGTCCTCTCCTCCATGAGCCTGATTTACACTCTTCGTAACAACAGAAAAAGCTCTGGCAGTCTTTCCCATCCAGACATTCGTAGACACACGCATCTTCAAATTCTTGCCAATACATGGCATTGTTCAATGTGATGACTGTAGTTGGTGGTCTCATATCAAGTACAGAATAATTCTGAGGAGAGAAAAAGAAATCAACAGTTTGATAAGCTTTCATGGATGATACAGATCACAATTAATAGTCATGGGGAAAAATTGGAGGTGCTGGGGATAATAGGAATTCTAGATTTGGGGACCATCTTTTTTTCCCTCAAAAGATGCCTTTTCAGATTAATTTCCATAGACAGGTTATGAACCATCAAGTTAAATGATTCTAGCTGTATTTTCTACTTGGTTAACTCAAAGCATTTCCTAGTAACCATTTTTTCATACTTAGAAGTTGACTTGCCTGTGCAAATTTTATTTGTAAGCTGCTTAAAACAATTGCAGCTACTACATTTAAGAATGCATTCTGAAAAATAAAGAAGATTAACCCCCTCCCCAATTAATTACAGAACAATCTCCACTTAGTATAACTGCCTGCACTGCCTCTTATCACCATCATTTATAAAACCAGATATGGTCAGCAATAGAAAGTGATGATTTCAGTACAGGATTTCAAAATACCATCCCTAAGCATGTCCCCTTAGTGCTTATCACATTAACCATGCTCAGCAGTAGGGCACTTTGATATCACACATTGTTGCGGTACCGCTGGTGCCTACAGTGATCTCCTTCTTCAATGTACTCCCTGTTTACACTTTGTCAGATTTTCTGTCACACCATTTCCTTTTCATGAAAGGTGCTTTCTCACAATAGTCTCCTTTCTCATCAAGCCACCCGTACCATCCTCACAAATGTCACCTCCTCCGCTGGCATCACTAGGAAAGGTCCCATCAGCCTCGCTGCCTGTCTACACTGCCCTGACAAAGCAGATTCGAGCCTCGTCAGTGCGATTTTCTCCACCCGGGGGGCCCTTCCTCTTCCTGTGGTTGTGCTGAGCATTGCCTTTGCCTGCAGGAGCATGTCGGGTGCACAGTAACAAGCTAGTCATGCCTCTGCATCGTGCCTGCTTGCATTCTGGAGGGTGCTCTGGGCCCCTCTTCCACACTTACTGTACAAAATACACATCATTTCCCATTGAAGGTGTTGGGGCGTACCTGAAAACTTTCACTCTGTATGTGAAAAGATGAGTGATATGAGTGACATCCGTCAGTGAAAATTTTCCTTTTTCTATTGACTTTGTTTTCTTTCTATAAATCCTTTGGTTTGACACACAGTAAAATTACCCATCTCATTAAAAATGCCGGTCCCTGAGCTAAGATCTTGATGCGGCATCCCTCTGCTTAGATGTTGGCATCTCCAACATATAACTACATCTGAACAACTGCCCTGTGGTGTCCAGCCAATTACTTCTAGGACACAAGTCAGCTTATCAAAAGTAGATGGCTAAAATCTCTCAGGTGCATTGTGCTGTGGGCTGTAAGAGGTTCCAATTCAGAAGTAGATTATTGCAAATATATTTGTTCTGAATGACTTTATCTCTGAGACTAGATGACACAAATTACCCTCTTATGGCCTTCTCTCTCATTTTTAAAGTTTCAGATGGCTGGCATCAGAGCTTTACAATGTGCTCCCACATGAAAAAGTCTAAGTTTATTGCACAAGTAATCACTTTTTGACTGTAGCACTTTGGAGAGAAAAAAACTGTAACTAGAGTATGCATGGAATTCTTCTATATCATTGTGTGACATACTGTTAATTTCTTGCAGGCCTTTATGAAAAATTCCTACTCAGGGAGTGAAATTTTCTATGCCTGGCTACAATATTTATGTTAAAAAGAAGAAAGGTTGATTTCCATCTCTCCAGACAATTTTGGTAAGTGAAGAGAAATACGTGCCCTGGTTCTGCAAAGAAAACTTTTGGATCTATCAATAGACTGGCTTTTTTTATTGTTTTGTTATATCAACTAGCTGCTCAGCATAGAAGATAAAATAAATGCCACAGGAAGATTAATTTCCACAGAGAAATTAATGTGGCTGCTTTAATCTCTGTCAGCTAGGAGGGGTCCTGAAGTGACCAGATACCAAGTGAAGGTGGATGGTACCCACTGTGTCCCGTGAGTCCTGCTGAGCTGGGGTTGGGAGGACAGTGGTGCACGCACAGTGAGCGCCAGCCCAGTATCACCTGAAAGGTCTGGCAAGGTCAGGTACTTCTCAGGTGCCTCAGACAAGGCAGTTCAGATGTAGTGTTAATAAAATTATTTCAGACAAGGTATAAGTGTGTTCTCTAGGGAGAAAAAGCAAGGGGTGGGATTACCTGAACATGGATTTACTGAGATGATTAATATTTTTCACTTTTGAGGTGGCATTACTAAAAGGCTGGAAAAGACACAATGACATCTTAAGAGTCAGAGACACTTCTTATTTTGTGCAGTTTATGCTATAATTTAAACATGGAAGTGGTTTATTCATAAAACAAGGCTCTGCTCAATATCTGTCTTATAGTGAAAAAAAAAAAAAAAAGAGTAAAAAACTTGAAAAGGCTGGATAATTTCCAAGCAGATCAAACTAACTAGATCAAGACAAAGATTAAATGTTAAATCCTATTGTCATTTTAATTGTGTATCTTTTTTCTTTTTCCTTTTTTCTTTTTTCGTTTGTTTGTGTGTTTGGAAAAAGGAAAGTGCTGCTGCCCATTCAATGTGCCTTTTTTATTTCACCTTTCAGAAAAGTCTGTTCAGGAAGTGACAGCAGAAGACCAGTAGCAAGCATATAAAAGCAATAGTTGCTGTAAACCATTAATTGTCAATGAGCAGACGTTCAATTTTATGCTCTTTAAATACATCGGAAAACTCATGGAAAAAAGAAGGTGGACCTAGCTATTGTAAAAGATAGACCAGCATATCCAAACCAAGAAATACAAAAGCAATGTTTTAGTTCTGTTCCTGTTCTTATTTGGGTCTGATTGCTGGGAAGCAGGCCATACAACCAGCTGATTAACTGGCGCTCTACATGCTTTATATTTATTTATATTATAGTTTGTATTCCAGTTTCAGATTTCATACAACATAGAGGCACAATTTTGTGCTCAGTTTCAACTTTATTACCATTGTACATATACAAATAGTTATCTAGAACTTTGGGTAATACAACTTTTTGTATTTGTAGATATAGTACAACTAACTGTGTTAAACCCACACGCCTAAATCATTTGAAAATACACCTGAAAGCTTGCTAAAGATTTTACAGATATGCATAAATTAATTATTTTCTGTGAAATTCAGTTAAAACTCCATATAAGTTTATGCAATAACATCTGCTTATTACTGCTTTTATAAAACGTAATGAATAACTGCATTATTATATAAATAAGGCAAAATTTCTGAGGTAAAAGTAAAGTACAATATTCTACACTCGACCATTTTCCCTCCCAAATCATTTGATAAGTCCTTACAGAGAGAGGCAGCTATGTTCCTCTGCCACAACCAAAACCAAACTAACCTTTTAAGAAAAAAGCAAAACAATATTTGTAGTGATGTCAGGGTAAAGCATAACATAGCATTACAGCTTTCTCAGGAATTACTGCAAGTAAAGATCAGCAATACATTCATGCCTCCATTTCTCTGACTGAATAAAATAGTTTACTTACCATCACATGACCAAAACTGACATCAGGGAGCTTAAATGAAGATAACAAAAGAATTATTCGGGAAAAAACCATACTTATTCTTTCATACGCATCTAATGTTCAATAGCATTCCTTAAGTCAAGCTTTTAAAAGCATTTGTCCACAACACACTTCATGCTGAGTATTCTATATATTCAGAAAAATATTCTGTACACTTTTAAACTGCATGAAACCTCAGCAGAATGCACACCTAGTTTCCATTCACTTTAAACCTTTATTTATTTATTAAAACTTATTTAGCAAACAATAGCTAAGTGAACATTTGTTCTTGAGTTAATTTAAATCTCATTAATGTTGCAAGTTTTCCCTCATCTTCATTCACATGTCTGGAAATACATCCAACTCACAAAGACACTCATGACCTTTTCACTCAGTCTTTCTATAGGATGGCAATTTTAGTTTGATCATCAGCAAGTTCATTTTGATTGTCTCATACTTTCTGTTGGTAACACTTTTTTTTCCTTTTGTGTGCAATGTATTTTTACGAGAAGCTATTAGAGGTTTAATGGAGTTTTCATTGACTAAGTCTATGGCTTTTAAGGCTTTCTCTAATTCCATATTCGTTTCAGCTTTTCTTTCATTAGTTCTTCATTCAATAATTTTCTATAGCTCTTCATCCAATCCCTTTTTACCTCATGACCTATTATTCCCTGAATTTAGCCTTCTTTTCAATTTTCTCCTCCACATTTTTCATTTGTATTTCTGATTTCAAATGTGCTTATTTCTGCTATTATGCAAAATGGCATGCAACATCTCAAACTACTGATCTCAAACACATAAGATTTTCCACTGATCTTGAGTGGACAGCCCGCTTCCCCTTCCCTATGTTTACACTGAGATTTTGTTTTCCATTATACCACCCTCTCTCATTCTCATAGTCAATTATGGTGGGCACCAGGCAATTCTTCCTGCACGATTGTTTTAATTGATTCTAAACAAACAGCTTTTGAATGTATCTGGGTGTTACTCTTGGAAGTGTCTTTATGGCCAAAAATGCACCTTTGCAAGTGATCTTCTCTGGTTTTGTACTTAGGACAAACCCCTTTGTGCATAGGGCTGAAAATGAGTGCTGGTTCCCAGTGGAGACACTGAAATCTCCTCTGTAAAGTTCATAAATATTTCTAGACCTGATAAGCCATGAAATAGCAGATGCATTTGAATATACATTGATGTGCCTGTATTTGTATAACACGCTATGCAATCTGTTTCAGTGGGAGTCCTTTATGACTACCAGCACAGTAATTGGAGAACAAAAGAGGCGTAGGCAGGGTTGCTGCCTCATGGTCAGCAGGCTGCTTCTGTTAGGAACAGACCTCCCTCAACAGGCACATAATTGCTTCTGCTGTTACTGTGGGTAACTATTTTCCATCAGCTTTCAGGGCAGATCGCACCACAAACTGGGAAGAGCTCGGAGGAGTAGAGTATCATGGGATTATAGGCTGTCATTGGGTGATTCTCTGCTGTCTGAGCCAGACATGTGCTAGAAAACAAATTTAATTGCTCCCATCTTACCGACTTTTTCTTCTTAGTACAGTTTGGTTTCCTGCAACTTGAGTAGTAGTTGAGGGTTGCATACTCCATCAGAGCAGCGAAGACAAATAGAAAGCATACAGTCACAAACAAATCCATAGCGGTGACATATGAGACACGGGGTAATGACTTTCTTGCAATGGTACTCAAAGTTGTCATGGTCAATACTGTGGTGATGCCTGCAGAGAGAAACTTGATTTAATTATATGCAACATCACTTCTCCATCTTGCAGAAGAATCTGGAAAACATACAAACCCACACAAAACAGAAATCCAAAGGGTATTCCAATAATTCATTAATTTCATTTACTAGTATAAAAATAATGAAAAATAACACCAGTAGAACCACCAGTAGTTTGTAAACAAAGATTTCCTCATCTGTTTATATTCATCTTTGCAGAAGTGACATTCCCATGCCTCTCAGTATGTTTTTCCTGATCTCTTCCTTCTTCTGCTCCTAGTTAGGTTGGAGATGGGAGTGAGAGAGAAGGAGAGAATGAAGAATTTTTTGAAGGAAAGTATAAAGCAGAAAAGAGCTAAACCCAGAATAAAAAATAAGAAACATAGAAAACAGTGAAGAAAACGTGGTCTTTTTCACAGCAGTTCTGCTGTCATGAAAAATTTTGTGTTCAGAAAAGAAAAAAGAGAGGGAAAAAGAAAAGAAATTTTGCTGCAAAGTTCTGACTAGGAATTTCAAAAATATGTCTTCACACCTCTGCTTCCTTGGGAGTCCTCCACTGCTATTTTCCTTCTGTGTAAGAGAAAACAACCTCTTATACAAACTTCAGATATAACTTTAATGGAAATAGCCTTTTTAATTCATACAAAGCACCACATCTTAGATTGATTTAGCAATAATGAATATAAGGGGAATTACTTAGTGTGAAATATCCTGAAACAATAAAACCAGTCCTAGAATGAAATCTATGGGGTATCAGTTATTTGGCTGCTGGTAACTCATATAATTTCTCTTCATTCATGCCTGAGGAATAGAAGTCTTTTCATTCCTGCTTTGGACTGATGTTTTTAATAATTTCTTATGAACTGCAGGCCTTCTTAAGGAAAAAAATAAAACTCCTCAATGGCTCAGGAAGAAAAATAAAGCTCTCACTCAAATAAGCCTCAAGAGAGAACCTGCTCTAAAAACAACATAACCATAAGGTAATCTTTCTTTTTATAGTCAAAGTGATATTTTGCAATGGTACACAGTGTTTGAAATGGCAGGGGATGACTGAAATTATGCCTTATAGTAAAATTATTTCTCACAAATGACACTCTGGAGAGAAAGAAATATCTGTGGATTACTTTTGACTACTCTCTGTTTATGAAGGAATGCCCATCTCTGATTTGTAGCATTTGATAGAAACCACAGAGATTCACAAGAATACCCCTCCCTATTCAAATCTTCAGAAAGTCCTTGGAAGAGCCAGCAGGCATATTATTGCCTGGTCCTCAACTTTCTTCTACAATGAATAATAAATAATTGAATTTCTTAAATGTCCACTACCCAAAAACAAAACAAAACAAATCAAAACAAAACAAAAAGCAGCTCTCAGTATTTTACTACCTTTAAAAAATTCCTCAAAGCCTAAAGTCTTCTTCAAACACAATATACAATGTCCTTTTTACCTGGACTCTAGGGAATGTTTTCATTTCCTGCTCATCTTGTGAAAGGATCTCAGATTACTTTAGGACAGTTTTTTATTAATAAGAAGAAATAAAAGAAAAAAAAACCACTTGCAGTGCTCAAAACCTTTTTTTTTTTTTTTTTGCAAAGGTCTGCAATTTTTCTACTGAATGCTGTATTGACAATGTAATATTTTTCCTCTATTTTTACTGAAATGGAGGTATAACTTTGTATTATTTGTGACAAGAGGTATTGTGCAAGTGTCTGAAATGACTGCCAGCTGCCAAAGTGACTATGGACAAGAAGGCAGAAAAGTAAAAGAAAAATTGCCATTAGTGTCTGTGCTTAAATACAGAAGTCCTCAGCTCAGCCTAAATGCTATATCCATGCCTTAACCAAAATTTGAAATGCCTACCTGAATCATGCTTGAGACCATGAAAACCTAGAAGCAATAGGTGACAACTAAGCAAAACCAGCCCAGTAAATCATGTTGCAAATGTCTCACCGATACAAAATCTGGGAGTTTTGGATGGCTCCAGACTAATTTTAGCTGATTGAAAGAAAGTAGGTTCCACTAAATTTATAGACACAGCAATCAATGGTGTAAGATTTATTTTCATTTTAAGATATGAATAGTGTGCATCCTCAGTCTCTTTGACAACAAATCACACTTTGCTACCAGAACATAAAACCCTGGGGAAAGGAAAGTTTAATGTTATCACAAGCCATCATATTTTCTGATTTATACAATTCATTTCAAATTACAGCAAAGCCATGAAAAAACATTGCTGAGCACATAGGCGGAAACATCCAAAGGTAAAACAAACACATTTTGACTTTTATTATTTATACAAAATATTTTTATGACATGAAATCCAATAGAAAAGCATCATTCTTCATTTAAGCTGAGGCAGGGACTTGGTTTCCAGATCACACCACAAACAAGCAATGAGTTTTTGAAATAATAAAAATTTTACCCACTAAATCAATTTTACATCTGACACATCGACACAAGTTTTAAAATATTAAAATAAGTTATATGGGGATATATACAGAGAGGAAACAGAAAGAAGGTGTATGATGATGGATATGTATTCCTATATACTTAAAAGTTGGAAAATACAGATGCACATATATGAACAAATGCCAGCACCCATTATTTCCAAAGAGAATATCTAGTTTCTCTTCCCTTAGCTCATTTTATCTCTCATGCTAAGAAAATTCAGTTTGTTGAGTAGTTTCAAATGCAATAAGCCTTGCCAGATGAAATTGTTAAGTCTCTCACTTTGGGGAGGCTCGTGTGGTAAAGTGAGCTTTGCATCTGTTATTGAAATTCACAATGCTCTTGAACAAACTATTTCAACAGAATTTTAATATCAGCTTTGAAGTAACCTAGCTTCAGATTTTTCAGGTAGAAGAGTGTAAGTGGGAGCTTACAAGTTTGTGTATAAATACCGTTTTGTGACATTTATATTCTCTGAGCAAATTCCATAGCAAAGATGCTATTTGATAAATCAAAAAGGGCTGTCTGGGAGATCAAATGATGCAGGGATACATAATGCATGAGAACTCTTTAAACTTTAGATCATTGCCCTAAACAGATATATAAACTTTTTACTGTTTGAAAGCTGCTTACTGGACTACAGTATGCAAAGTGAGGTAGCAGAAGCTTCAGTCTTAGAAACATTTTGGTCAGTGAGGCTCATTTTTTATTTTCCTAAGAGTACATTGATGAAACGCTGGGGAAAATGTGTACTATGCCATCACTCATTTATAAACTTAATTTCTCCACCTTTCTAGTGTGACACCTGTTTTGATAATTTCCTTGTTTTTTTAGCAAATGAGCTTAAAATGGAATGACAAGGAGAGCAATGTTCATCTTTTATCAGACATCAACTGTATCTTTTACATCAACATACTGCTGGCCTTAATACCTACTGTATTGTTTTAAAGTGCAGTTTGAAGTTGCTCTGTAATAACTGCCTAGTCACATCACGTTATACCCATTTTGAAAAAGCAGGGGGAAAATGGGATAAAAGCTTCGGTTTACTTCCTCCCTTCATCTTCAAGGAATACAAACTATTCTTTCACAGATCATAACTTTTCTTCAGACACTTGCTGGCTATTCTTGACTTTGAGCATTGGGAGAAGATAATTTTGATTACTAGAGATAAGCAAAAGCAGCAAAAACCCCTTCCCCCCCCCCCTCATTGAACAGAGGACAGAATACCCAGGGATCAGAAAACACAGAGTTCTCATACAACACTCAACTTCTATTCCCAGTTTTCTACTGACTCTTCAGATGACCTGAACTGAGTCATGTTGCCACTCTGGGCCTCAGTACCTCAAAAAACATGTGAAAACAGAGCTATGATGCCAAGTTTTTTAACAAAAAACTGGACAGTTCTGCTGAAAGTATACTTATAGTCTAATTTTTCCCTCACAGATAAATACCCCAATTGTATTTACATTTTTTCCAGCACAGAAATAGCTTATTACTTACTGTTATTGAGAAAGGGGCGAAACCTGTCCTTCATGTATCTGTGAGTAGTTGTCGATAGCTTAGGAAATTACTCATTAAATTCAGAAATTAAAATATTTCCCTAATGCTAGCCCTTTACATTAATGCAGCTATACTTGAGGCAGGTTTGGTGCACTGAGTCTACAGCTCATTTCAAGTAATTAGCAGGAAAATTTCAGCAGTTTGCCTTTGGCTGTATTACTCACAATTTCACCATGTGCCACTATCCAAATGTGGATGTGAGCTGTTGTTCAGACAGATTTATAGGTTGTGTTATACAAGCAGACCTACAGTAAACTGGGAACATCTGCTTACTGCTACCCAAGAGTCAACAGGCCACTGCCCTTTAGGGAGCAACAAGACAATTTGCACAAGAAGAGATGATTCATGTATATATTATTTTCTTGTTACTTGATTTTATTTATAAAATATTATATTTTAGCCTAGCAATTTAATTCTTCATCAGATTTGTAGGAGTTAGTCACAATAGCCATTGAATCACAGAATCACAGCCTTGGAACATCTCATTTGTATGTTCTTACTTCAAATTCATGACCTCAGTATATGAATATAGTTTTTATCTGAAGTTCCCTCTGGTTGAGGGAGTGAGGCAGAGAGAGTCACACTGTTGTGACTAGTGATCTAACCTACTTCCGTGTTAATTGGAAAACAGAGCTGTGTGGTCTGAGGAACTTCCCTCAGGGACAGGGTATGAAAACTGCTTCCAAAAAATTAGTAATGCAAACTATTAAATGCCTTTTCTCATTTTTCTCTTAAGCATTATGAAGGATAACACAAATGGATGGTATGTGACTCTACGCACACAGATGGACCTAGTTAAAAAAGATGGAGCATGGTCAATCCTTCTTTATCTCCACTGAATCACCCAATTTAAAAAGAAAGGATTTCAGCAGAGAAATACGGTAGGGGTCTGTTTGCCTAGAGAAGTTGTGGATGCCCCATCCCTGGAGGTGTTCAAGGCCAGCCTGGATGGGACTTTGAATAACCTGGTCTAGTGGGAGGTGTCCCATGACAGGGGAGGCTGGAACTAGATGATCTTTAAGGTCCCTTCCAACCCAAACCATTCTATGATTTTATTGCTTAATTTTCTGGCCATCAGAAGTAAGTCTACACAGCCAGGAACAGGCAGTCATACAGCTGCTCTGGCCTCACCTTTGTGTCATCTTTGTGCTGTCCTGGAACTGGAGTGGGTCACAGAATAACTGTAAGTCTTAGGGTCCGTTGTGTTGCTGGAGCTACAGTCTAACGGCACTTTGACACTCACATGAAAGGAATGACAACTGAATATTCCTTTCTTGGAAAATAACGTCAGAGAACTGGACGCAAGTGATGCCACATGATTTATAATGGTCAGAAGTGCTACATTTATTAATTTTACAAATTCCTGGAGCAAATCCAGCAGGTTGTGGTCTTGTGCTGATCTCACACAAAATGAGTTTTAATGCAGTATTATCTGTAAAGTGTGAACAAGTCATGGAGTTGTCTTATTACAGGTTTTCTGATACTTTTCTTTCTGCTGATCCTGCTGCATAGCTCCAAGTCTCTGAGCTGCTCCCAGTTTGGAAGGATGCCTCTTGTCACTCACTAAGAATTGAAGTTGATACAACTTCCCCCAAGGAAGATGCCTAAGGATTATAAGAAGAATGGCTGGCATATATCTTCATTGTTTAAATAAAGCTGTGACTAGTGAGAGAGTTACACTTAGAGAATATTTTTGGTAACGTATTTCTTCTGTCATTCAGCTGAAAGTTACTATAAAGGTATTGAAGCATTAAAAGTTTTGGGAGGAAAAATGTTTGTAACCTGGGCCTTGTAACCCTGAATAGATGACTGTATGTTTTTTGTATGACTGAAAGATTTAGAAAATGGGATCAGACTTCTGGACATGTTTGCGATACTTAGCAGCTAAAATCTCACTCAGTGTGAATGGGCTTCAAAGACTCTTTAGCACTTTATTATTATTTTCATTTTCATGGGGTTTATGCTAAAAACCGCAGTACCCTCAAAACTGGTGGTTGCTTAGATTTATTAGTGCAGGTGAGACAGAGAGAAACAAGATATGTCATTTTGAACAACTGTATAAACGCTGCATTGTCAAACAAGCTGTCTTCCTCCTGAGATCAAGTAGAACAACTCTACGTAGTGTTTGGAAAAGAGCTAAGAGAAGTGGATTCGCATACAAGTAACCGTCATTCCTGGTAAGTGATTAATTACTTGGATTAAAAAGTTTGAGAAGTCCTCATGACCACTGGTCAGGTGTTTAGGGGAGTGGGAGACAGAGGTGGTTTGTACACCTATACTGTGGTTGAATAAAGGCTTGCCAGCACTCAGCAGCACTTGTGAACACTGTGCCTGCTGCAAGCTGTCTTCATGTGTCCTCCAACCTGTTTGCATCCCTTGTTCTCCACTCTTTCCTCACAGCAGTATCACCCTCCCAAACCTGGGCACTCAGTCGCTCCTATGAATGCTTCCCATCTGGTTTCAGTCCAAAAAGTCAAGCAAGTCAGTTTTTAATAATTTGTTCTTTCAAATTGAAATGATTTATAGGGCCCATCTGGTTGACTGGAAATAGTGACAGACTCCAGCAGGAGGAAGCAATGAATAACGGGGAGTGGTAACCTCTACGCTTGGAAACAGACACATAAACCTTGAGACAGTCTCCCCTTTTTGCTTGACTGGTAGATTTCTGAATCAGTTTGTATTTGCAGCCCTGGCAACCACAGTGTGGATTAAAATGTTTTTCCTTCAGTTCCGATGTACTCCTATAATTGACTATTATGTAGCCCTATGCCCTCAGTGCTGGCAAAACCTGCAGGTTTTCCCATAGACATAAGAATAAATGGTCAACGTTTCTAAGTGTATCCTAAAGCACAATGCCAAAATGTACATGCTGGTCCTGACATGAATGAGCTGATGGAAAACCTACACCAACATAAATCTCCACAATCTATGAAAAATATCTATACACCTAGTGTGGCTCTTAACTTCAAGTATGCAAGCTAAAATACTTTGAATGAGTTAATATTATTATATCCCACAGTTTTCTGTATACATAAGACATAATGCCCCATGGGGGAAAATTTCAGAAGGGAAGGAAGCCAGCAGTGCAATTAATTTATTCTTCAAAAATGTCACTAAAATATCATAGTGAGAAAAAGGAGACAGACATTAATTTTAGAACATTATGCAAAATAGGTGGCAGTGTCATTCCAAAGGGTCAGGGTAGTTTACTTTTAATTATCCTGTTAAAGGCAGAAAACCAGAGGCTTCAGTGATAAGTAGATCTGGGTCTGCAAGACATGCTGGCAATAATCCACAGCATACAGCTAGTGGTCTCTTTGAAAGGAAGATGACATTTTCAAATGATAGTGTAGGAACTACCAAAAAAAAGATAAAAAGCAGAAAAGGGAATTATTAACAACTTACCTAATGCTGTTCTTGCTGGTGTGGCATCTTTTTTAATCCAAAAGGATACCCAGGAAAGAACAACTGTTAATATACAGGGAATGTATGTTTGAATAGTAAAGTATCCCATTCTTCTACTTAAGTCGAAGTATATAGTCATGACTACATAATCACCTGCAATAATAGCAAAGAAAATAAAATGATATTGTGGTGAGATACAGATGATTGTTCATTGAATTGCTAATTTTTTGAGTTTCATAATAACACTGCGTATGAAATATTTCTTAGTGTTTCAAGAGCATCTGTGCAGCAATGCTCATGTAAAATAGAACTGAAAAAAACCTTTCTATTTTAATTTCCTTTAGTTTTAGGTCTCTGTGGAAATGTTGACCTATTTGGACAGGAAGAGGCTCTCAGTAATCATTCTGGATGAGTAAATTTTTGAAAGGCATCTTGGCTTTCCAGAGGATATTTCTGAATGGTTCCATGGCTACAAATACGAAGCTACTATCATTCACCAGCTTCTGTAACCAGCCCACACAAAATCTCTCCTTCTGCAAGCTGTATCTTCCCTGCCCTAATTTCAGATCTGAGTGACTTCTATTGTCTTTTGAAATATGAATTAGGGTCTTTATAGCAAGCATAGCATGCACAGGCGTATGTCTTTACATAAGAAGTCATTTATAGACACTAGAGCCTCAATGCTGGTGAGAGAGGTCAGACTGCATGCTTTTAAAGGACACATCATTAAAAGTCAAGAGTCTGTCAGCATTCCACCATTTCAAAGCAGTTGTGGTCACTTGTAGTATCTGTAAACCTTCAGAAGGTGAACCTGGATATAAAGCTTATTATCCTGCTGGATACTAAGAATCATGAAATCAAGAGCTCAATAAGAGGCTAGTTTACCTCACGTTACATGATTTTCTTCACAGTATCTCTTCTGCTAACCCTTGTGACTTCACAGGGGATAATAATCTGTCCCTCTGTCTCTACTCAGTAGAGGCTACTGACCTTATCACCTCTCTCCTTACTAACAGCTTCCTCAGCTTCACAGATTTTAACTATCCTTTTCTCTCAGACCATCAGAGTGATTAGCATTAATGAAACTGAACCGAGACCAATTTCTCTACTTTGTTTGAAGTATGTTGCTTCCATTTCAGATGTGAAGAAGAGTTTATATGCCTGAGAACTTTTATGGAGTTTTGTCAGACTACATAAGACTTGACCTAATAAATTATATTGCTTCTTGTTGCAAGCCTTGACTTCATAGAATACAATATTTGCAGAAGGTATTGTTTGCAATAGGTAGGTAAGTATGTTCTCTTACAGCAAACCATCAGAAGAGTGAAGAAATTAGTAGCACAGAGGGACTAATCCCCCAAGGAACATACATACTACTCACCCAAGCAGAGGCATAGCGGATTTATTAGGAGTTCAGACAAATTAAAGCTTAGTCTTCTAGTAACAGGAAGCATATGAACAAAAGCATTTAATATGGTTGATATTTCGACTATAACTAAATATTACATAGAAAATAAATTAATTCAGTAAGAATAACTTCCATCCAAAGAATCCTTGAAGGCCACTGCAAAATGAATGAACTACCATAAGCTAGGCAGTCAAAGGTAAACAAAAATCTGAGGGTTGAATTTGGGGAGAGAAACTTAGAACAACGAATCAAAAGGAAAAGTTTCTGTGTTAAGTACACCGGTTTCATATAGATATATTTGGAGGAGGTTGGTAAGCCTGTGGGTGCTTCCATCATGCCTCTGTTAGAGGAATGTGTACATTTTCAAGAGTACTGTGCCAGTAAAAATCATGTGACCCCAAGAAGCTGGGCAGTCATTTCAAAATCCTTGTGTATTTGGCATTATGGGGCAGAGCTTTAATGAAAGACTTCACTTCTGTTACAAGTAAGAAATACTGCAGTACGTCATGACATAGTGAGCCTTGTGGGTTGTTCACGGGCTAAGGGTTATTTTCATTCCACTAATCCCCAGCACTTTTCTCCATGCAGGAAATGGCACAAGGGAACTGACGTGGGTTAGAACCATTGATTTTGCTGGCTTATAGTTAGACTACATCAGTTTCCTGGTCTGGTTTCTGCAACAAAGAAAGATTTACACCTCAGCAACTGAGAACATTTCATTGAAACAGGTGTAAGGAGTCAGAGGCTGTGTTAACCAGTGCTTCTACTGACAAGAACCAACCCAAGAACCATGGAAAAAAGTTATAATGTTTCAAACACTGTCAAGGCAGAAGGATGAACAAAAAGGGAACTCAAAGACTATAGGAAATGTGCTGAGCCTTTTCATTTCCCGTACTCAGTTATTGTATCTAGCACTGCACATCTATGGATAAACTGCTTGAGAATGCTATAAAACAAAGCAATCCAGAGATTTCTAATTGTGCACAGTGACATATGACACACAATTCAAGTAAACACACAGGTCACTGCTCCCCTGAATAGTATGATCGTAATATCCAGCACAGCAAATGAGAATGGGGCTAGATACTGGGCAGTAAGATTCTGGGAAAGTAAGGTAGAGTCACTGCTTCCAGGTCTCTGAAATAAAGCCAATAAACTGAGATTGGGAGAGAATTATCGCACATTTCAACTGTTTTGCACACTTGAACTGAGGCAGAGATTAAATGACATAGAGAGTACATCATCACATTTGGTCATGAACTGATTCAGTATCTTTCAGGCAGGATTCGTTTGCCTTGATTTTAGACATCTAGAGGGTAAATTATACAGATGACGTGCACACTGTGGCCTCCTTTCTATATTTAATGAAGAGAAATTGGCACTTTTAGTATATGGTTTGTCTAATCTTAGAGGTATAGTTTAGAAGGAGGAGACTGTGCCCAAAACATTTCCATTTCTCTCCTGTGTCTAAAAAAGGAGAGTGATTGGCTCAGATGTAGACAAAAACATTGTAGACGCTTACGGATGATCCAAGAAGTCAATCACACCCCTTGATTCCATGGTGAAAGCTAAATTGAGACACTCCTGTGAGGGTGCTATGGTTATTTTAGATGAATATAATAACCTTCTTAACCTTTCAAAGTGTATTTGAGTTATTTTCCTCCTTTGTTTCATTGTTAAACTTGATGTCTTCTTCCTTGAGGACATGCCCAACTCCTTCTTTGCTTGCTGTACTTCCTTCCTTCCTTCTTTCCTTCCTGCTTGCCTTCTTTCGTCTTCTTCCTTGAGGACATGCCCAACTCCTCCTTTGCTTGCTATACTTCCTTCCTTCCTTCCTTCCTTCCTTCCTTCCTTCCTTCCTTCCTGCCTTCCTGCCTTCCTGCCTTCCTGCCTTCCTGCCTTCCTGCCTGCCTTCCTGCCTTCCTCCCTCCCTCCCTCCCTTCCTCCCTTCCTTCCTTTCTTCCTTCTTTGCTTCCTAGATGAAATCCTAGGATAGTGAGTGCCTGCATTTTTTTGTCTGAGATCCATACAAAAATCCTCACAATGAAGAAGGCAGACCCAGTCATACAGGCAGCAGCTGTGCATATGGACTTATATACTGTACCCTCTGTGCTGTATGCTAACTTACAGGGACACACTGACAGATAATATACCAAGAGACTGGGAGAACAGTTTAGTTCAATGAAATTACCAATGCGAAGTGGAAGTAGGAGGAGAGTTTGCTGGTTCTCCTACAGTACTCTGATCGTGCTTAGTGAGGATGCAACTCAAGAGACGATGAATGCAGATGGCAATGCTTAGTAGGAGGAGGAAATTGCCACTGCTGAATGCAGAACCCTGACTGGAAGCACCAATGTTGTGACTACTGTCAAAGGCAAGCATGTTTCTGCACAATATGTACTAAATGCATTTTTTTAATAGCTACAGTAAATTACAATTTTAAACTAAATTACCACTTCAGTTCTCCTATCCTCAGCCAAGTCAGCTTCTCTTGAGATTCCTGAATTGTCTCTTTGCATATAGAAGAGCCAGCATGGATATGCTGTGGCTACTTTCATTGTTGCACTACAAACTGCACTATTATTATTATTATTATCTAAATTACTCCTTCCAGAAGTAATTATTCTCTATGTATCTAAAAGCACTTTTCTGCAGCTTAAAGGGAAGTAGCCATGGTACACACATTTCTGACCTTCTCTACACACACAAAATAATGTGTACAAAGAACCCTCCTTTCTTCTAAAAGACCTGACCTAGAATTCATTCTGTATATCCTGCAGGCATGAGCAGCCCACAGAAGAGAAAAAGCTTTCAAGAACCCTGCACAGTGCCTCCTTGCTCCTTTGCCAACCTTCAGAGCTCCACTTGCCATTACTGCCACTGCTAAAAGAAGGGCTGGGGCTGATTGTGTGACAAAGCCCTGCAGTGCAGGCAAGATGAGAAAAACCTCCTTCCAAACTTTGTATCATTAAATCAGAGTACTTGATTTAAAAGTAATCACACAGTGATTGCCTAGCTAGGGACCACTGGAATAGCTAATATGAAAAATCTTCATTTTGAAACCTGGAGAGGAGTTCTAATTTTTAACAGATTAAATAATTTCCTAGGAAGGCAAACTAAGTTTTGACTGAACCATCAGACCGTCAATTCACTAAAATAATGAAAATTACCTTGAGGCAAAATAGTGCCTGACCAGTTTTCTATAATGAGAGCAAAAGATGCTCCTTGAGGCAGCAAATCTGGAATAACAGGAATAGTGTAGGAATGCTTCCCATGAAACCAAGATGACTACTGTCTGTGACCCATAGGACTTACATTAGCCTAAGTTTCTAGTTTGAAAGTAGGACACTATTTATAACAATAATGATTTTTAAAGGAATAACTGCTGTGGATTTTAGTGAACAATGCTAGTCTATAGTCTACTTCCTTTGTCTTTTGAAGACATGGTTGGCTGAATTTCCAGAATTTTGCCTACATTGCACCAAGAACAGCTCCCTTAAACGTGACATGTTTAAGCAGAGTGCAATTGGTTATTTTAAGAAAATCTTTAAAAAATATAAAATGATATCCTGTAAATAATTTATTTACTCAAACCATGCTGTACTATTTTATTACACATATTCATTTATCCTGTCATTATACTCTGAGGTTAATAAGTGTTACAATTCCAATTATCTTACAAAAAAGTTCAACAAATAATGACTTTACAAAGACTGCAATACGAAACTACAGTGCACATGCAGAG